ATAATATAATATATAATATATATTATATATTAACTAGATGCGTGAGCAGGTTCCATCACATACAATAACCAATTCCAAATTAGTTTTTATCAATTCAACTCCCAAATTGAATTGTTAAAGCAATCCCAGAATTTTGGGTTGTTCAATCCCAGATTGAGTTGCTCGTACGTTTGATGAACTGAACAAAAGGTCAATTCCAAATTCCCAGAGTTTGAACAGACCAAATTCCAGTCACTTAATGAAACTAATTCCAAATTAATTATCTTAACATGGTTAACACATATTTTGATCCATGTAAATCCAATTTAAAATCAAATAGCTATGAACACCGACTTGGTGCTCTGATACCACTGTTAGATTTTAGACGTACGAAACCAGCGTACACGCAGCGGAATTTTAAAATTTTCTTACCAACAACGAAGATTCGGCTAATAGCTATTCGATATGATCCTAGATCGTGTGAATGATAAAACTTACAATTATTCAGTTTTGTCCTCGACTATGGTATCCACGCAATTCAGTTTCCCGATGCACGATCCAACGCCAATGAATCCTCTCTGGTGAAGAAGCTAGGAATCTTCGAGCCAGAAAGATAGAGAGTGTTTTGTGTTTTTACTCTCTCTTCTTCTCTCATCTAATGATCGTTGAAGACTACGATGAGATAATGACATATTTATAATTAGATCAAACCTAATCATATGGGCCTTAGGAAATCCTACAGCCCAATAGGTAATTGGACCTAATCCAATTAATATTTTAATTAAGTATAAAAATCTCATTTAACTTAACTAAATATTTTTCCAACAAATAGAAAATTATCTCATTAATAATTAAGTATAAATCCAATTTAACTTAATTCAATATTTTCCATCAAATAGAAAATTATCTAATTACTTAATCTCATAAACAAATATTCCAATCTAATTGAATATTTAACACTCTCGATTCACTCTTAGTCGGAAAACTGATTGCTTATTGTGTGACCATATAGGCCTTCATATATTGACATAAATCTAATTTATGATCCTTACGAAACTCCTAGACTGCGTCGAAGGACGAACTCAAAATATGAAGTACATTTACATGGACAAGCAAACATACCCTTAGTGTAGAATTCAATGGTGGTACGGTCCCTTCATTCACGAACCACTCGATTAAGCTTAGGATTTGAACATGTGTCTATCCAAACAACTTAATTATTCTATCTCATCTCACTGGTTGATT